TGGAAAAATATATAAACCAGGATAGACATTTTAATACTGTCTCTTTAAGGAAATGCTAAAATTGTAATTGGGCGTGGTTCCTCAAATGGCCATAAGATGGAGCCAGAAACCTGGGTTGTTCCTGTTGTGTTGCTGAGAATGTTGCTGCTCCTTATTGACTTTTACTGATCATTATTATTTGGGGGTTTGATGTAAGTCTGTTACTGAACTGTTTTTGATACTGGACTTTGATATTTGGATTATCCCTGGACTAAAAAACTGACTGCTATAACAGTGAATGACTTGGACTGATTGTTTGGACTTTGTTTAAACCTTTATTGGAAGTAAAAACCTACATTTTACTATACAGTGTAGCTGTGTGCTGTGTGTGTTATTCTACACTACTCTTACTACGTCTCCCTGTGTGTGCTCATTCTCTTAAGCGGGGAATTACCTCAACACTGGTTAGGGGCCCAGGCCATACCAGGCTCAGATAACTGAGAGTTGGTGTGTATGCACGGTACTGTATATAGACAGATGTTTAATGTTTAATTGTGGGTTACTATCCTGGTAAAGATGGCACAAGTCACTTCAACATGTCTATCACTGATAACCCGGTTGGATGGAACAAACTATGTTTCCTGGTCTATGAAGTGTAGTCTACTTCTGCGTAAAGAAGGGTTATGGAATGTAGTTCAAGTTCCACCAGAGCTTGGTGGCTTTAAACAGAACAATGAACGAGCTCTTTGTATAATTGGACTAACACTGAGTGACCAGCAGTTAGTCCATATTCATGGAGAAGAGTCTGCTGCTAGGTGTTGGGTGAATTTGAAGAGGATTTATGTTTGTGACAGTGTAGGTGCACACATACATCTTACACGTAAACTGTTTAGAGCACGTCTTCTGAAAGGTGGAAATATGTTAGCTCATTTGAACTTCATAAAAAGAACTTTTTAGGATCTACATGAAAAGGAACTGATATTTTCAGAGCTGCATCAAGTTTACATCATTCTTTCCTCATTGGATGAAAGTTATGATGATTATGTATCTTCACTGGAAGTCCTGCTCAGAGATAAACTGACATTGACTGACATAACCGGAAGATTGTTAGAAGAGGCAAGAAGACGGCTGGATAGGGACCAACTGAGAAAGGAACAACCACAAGAAGAGGATTTGTCTTCAACTGCCTATAATGTTAGGAAATGTTTTTCTTGTGGGGCTAAGGGACATATAGCTAGATTCTCTAAGAAGGGAAAATAACAGAATACTGGTAATCACCAGAAGGCTAAGAAGAATGTTAGTTCAGCTATGTCTAGCAATTCAACTCTAAACCATGATTTGTGGGTTGTTGATAGTGGAGCATCACAGTGCATTACTAAAAGTAGAGGTTTGTAACAATGTCTACGAGTAAGCAACAGGTATCATTGGCAAATGGATGGAAGATGAAAGCTTCTGGTGAAGGTACTGCATATTGTTCTTGTGTAAATAAGCATTTAACTATGTAAGATGTACCTAAACTGAAATTTAATTTGCTATCAATAAGGGCTTTAGTTAATCTTGGTTATGTAGTAACCTTTAGGGGAGATAACTGTATAACAGAGAAAGAGGGTAAAAGTGTTACTGTTACTTTAGAGAATGATTTATATGTGTTACATGACCAGTTGCGGATGGCTAACTCAGTTTATAATAAGGTTAAGCCACATGACAAATGTATACATTTACTGCATAGACGTCTGGGGCACATTAATTTCAAAATGCTCAAACAAACTGTTGAATTGTCAGAGGGAGTAAAATTGAAACCCTGTAGCAAGTATTTAAACTGTAATGCCTGTAGCCAAGATAACAGCAAGGTTACTCCAGCAAACAGAGTAAATGGGTTTAAGACCAAATCTTTAGAGGTTGTTTTTGCTGACATAATTGGCCCTAAGAAACCTAGTTTGGGAGGTGCCTGCTATGTTTTGAGTATAATGGACCGTTAATGACTCATGGTACGGTTTCTGCTATCTCATGAAAAACAAAACAGAAACATTCCAACATTTCTTTAACTGGCTAAGATTTGCTCAGAGAAAAATGAGGAGTAAAGTAATTACTTTAGTTACTGATAACAGGACTGAGTTTGTTAACAATAGATTCCAAACAATGCTGAAATTGGCTGGTGTTGAGCATAAACGTTCTGCACCTTACAGGCCACAACATAACTCATTTGTAGAACGAAGAGGGCAAACGTTACAAGCTATGTTTCGCACCATGTTATGATTCAGGTTTGCCTGAAACACTGTGGGGTGAAGCCATAATGTGTAGTAACCATGTGTTAAACAAGGTAGTTAACACAACAACTGGAGAATTGCCATTCACTCGTTGGCATGGCAGAAAACCAAATTTATCTACACACATTTGGAGCTCCAGCATGGGTGCATATTCCCCCACAAGACTGAAAGGGCAACATAGGCCTAGGAAATTATTTTTCATAGGTTACGAGGCCAACCATAGATCATTTAGATTCTAGGATCCAGGCACAGCTCATGTTTATTGTAGCGCCAGTGCTAAATTTCTTGAGCACGTTGGGTGGAATAAACTGCAATCCAGCAATGATATTATTATTGACACCCAAATAGTCCCTAAAGATGAAATATGTAAAGCACAAATAGTCATTAAAGAGGAAGAACAGGAGGTAGGAGAACAGGCACAGGAGGAGAAGGAGTAGGTGGCACAGGTGAGTCCACCAGTAAGCCCTGTATTACCAACATGTTCAACCCGAGTAACACGACCACCTGATAGATATCAGGCTAGTGTTATATGCCAAGTGAATACAGTTCCAAGTTACAGTGAACTAAAACTGTATCCTGCTAAGGATCAGGCTGCTTGGCAGGAAGCAATGGATGAGGAACTGAAATCCTTACAGAAACTGGAAGCATATGAAAATGTCAGGTTACTACCAAGTAAACATGCCATAGGATGTAAATGGGTTTATAAACTTTAGTCTTAAGTAGATGGGACTGTTACCCATAAAGCCAGGTTAGTAGCACAAGGGTTCAATCAGATAGCAAATGACTATGATGAGGTGTTTGCACATAGTCTGAAAGCTACTACATTAAGGGCAGCATTAGTGCGGGCAGCTATTTGAACTTATCTGTGGAGGCTGAAAAGAACGAGGTGTGTCTTAGGATACATGCAGAGTAACCCTTGTATAAAAAGGATATGTACACGGAAAACGGTTTATGAGAACAGTTATGAATAAATATACAGCCACACAGAGTTAAACAAGTTGTGTTAATGTTTACTTGAAGAAATAGCACATTCCAATAAACAGTCCATGTCATACACATTTTTTATCAGTCCAGAAATATCCAGTTATAAAGTCTTCTTACCAGTTTCATGTCTTTTACAGCAGACAAATATCAAACCATAATACAACAGATAAACTTCGATATCAACAGAATATCAAAATAAACAGGGTTAGTCAGTATCGGTCCGTAGTCAGTCAGTATCAGTATCAAGAGAGATCATCAGTGAAAAAGAGCGTTAAAAACCATGATCTATAGCTCCCTCTTATATAGTATTTTTCCTTAAAGCTACAAACATATATATTTGTAGTTTATACAGTATATTGTCAATCCAACTATGTTATTTTACATATAGGTAACAGTGTGCTTTTATTTGTCCTCTGGAGGTTGTGTGAGAGGAGTGTGTTGTCATTTGTCCTCTAACACCTTCCCAAATTGTGTGAGAACAGAACTTTCATGCTCAGTCCATGGAAGATCACTCTCCCAATCCAATTCAAGAACAAAGGCCTCATGCAGTGTGACTCAGAGTATCCTAGGATACAAGTAATCCTCAAGTTACCACAGTTCACTTAGCGAACATGCCAAGTTACAACCATTTCTCCCCCAAGTATTGAGACCCAGTCCCAAAATTTATGAGTGCTGTAGCTGCACAGTCATTCACATTTACGAATGACAGTAGAGGCACTACAATATTCACCCTACCTATTCCCCCACCCCATCTCGTAGGGACTTACCATATTTTTCAGACTATAAGATGCACTTCTTCCCCTCCAAAAAACTGGGTGGAAGTATCTGTGTATCTTATAGAGAGAATTCGGGCCTTGTTTTGGCCTTCCAAACTCTCCGCACATCCCGTTTTTGCCCTTCTGGGCATCCAGAAGCACTCTGCAGAGCAAAAACAGGCCCACTTTTGGTCTCTGGAGGCCCCCGCATGTCCCATTTTTGCCTTCCCCAGCATCAGGGAAGCTGAGAACGAGACACGCAGAGGGTTTGGGAGGCCAAAATTGGGCCCATTTTTGGCATGGAGAGTGCTTCTGGATGCCAGGGAGGGCAAAAATGAGATGTGCGGAGGTCCAAAACTTTTATTTTCTTGTTTTGCTTCTCTAAAGCTAGGTTCGTCTTATAGTTTGAAAAATACAGTACCTTGTGATGATGTGGCGAGCCATCGGTTCCCTTGCCTACTTCAGTGCATTTGTAGAAAAAAAGAGTAGTGAGAGTGATACGCGTGATCAGTAGTGGGAAATCTAGCATTATTGATCTCACACTACAGTGCTTTACGCCTCTGTTCACTGCTAAACAAGGCCTACAGCAGATCCAGAGCAAAAGAGAGGAAAGGCCTCTTCGTTTTCAAAGAGTTTTGCCCTGGATCTTGTGCGTGTCTCCTCCGCTTCCCGCTCCTTTCCTCGGAGAACACCAACAGCAGTTGGACTAGATGACCTTCAGGATCCCTCCCAACTCTGTTAATCAGTTAGCTTGCCACCATCTCAAGCCGTCTAAGAATCTATATACTTTTTTCAGATTGCTGGGGACAGTAAGATGACTTTGTAAACTGCACAGAGTGTGGTAAAGCATTGTGGAGTGGTATATAAGTCTACGTGGAATTGCTATTGCTATATAGTTTCTCCTGAATGCGGATCCTTTTATGAGAAGTAAGATGGCCATTCTGAGCAAAACTCTTTCCACATTTTATTTTATTTGAGTATATGTTTTATTCATAAACTTTTTGAATACAGTATATTGTCAGGGCATATCATTTATGAAAAAGAAAGCAAATGAATATCAACATATATACTAGTAACAATAATGATAGTGTAACAAAATAATTTCAACTCATTTCTTGTATTAGCTAATTTATACTTCTGTTAATTGTATCAACATGTTTCTAATTTTTAACCCTGTTTGTATTTAATTCCTACATAACAATAATATTCCTTCACCTAATTTCTAATGGGAAATAACATTTTATCTATGAGCAAATGTCTTTCCACATTCCGTACATTTATATGGCTTCTTTCATGTGGATCATCGTATGGGAAATAAGTGTATATCTACGAGCAAAGGTCTTTCCACAGTCCGTACATTTAAATGGTTTCTCTCCTGTGTGGATCTTTTTGTGCCTTTTAAGATCACTGCCACGCGTAAACATCTTTTCACACTCCATGCATTTATATGGTTTCTCTCCTGAGTGGATCCTTTCATGGGAAATAAACTGATCTCTTCGAGCAAAGTTTTTTCCACACTCCATGCATTTAAATGGTTTCTCCCCTGTGTGGATCATCTTATGGGAAATAAGATGACTACTTTGAGCAAAGGTCTTTCCACACTCCATGCATTCATATGGTTTCTCCCCTGTGTGGAGCTTTCTGTGGCTTCTAAGTCCACTGCGACGAGAAAATCTCTTTCCACACTCCATGCATTTATATGGTTCCTCTCCTGTGTGGAGCTTTGTATGGTCTCTAAGTCCACTGCCATGGGTAAATGTCTTTCCACATTCCAAGCATTTAAATGGCTTCTCCCCTGTGTGGATCATCTTATGGGAAATAAGATAAGCTCTTCGAGCAAAGGACTTTCCACACTCCATGCATTTAAATGGCTTCTCCTCTGTGTGGATCATCTTATGGGAAGTAAGATTACCTCTTTGAGCATAGGTTTTCCCACACTCCATGCATTTATATGGTTTCTTCCCTGTGTGGATCATTTTATGGATTCTAAGGCTCCTGCTCCAAGCAAAGGTCTTTCCACACTCCAAGCATTTAAATGGCTTCTCCCCTGTGTGGATCCTCTTATGGGAAATAAGATAAGCTCTTCGAGCAAAGGTCTTTCCACACTCCATGCATTTAAACGGCTTCTCCCCTGTGTGGATCATCTTATGGGAAATAAGATGATGTTTTTGAGCAAAGGTCTTTCCACACTGCATGCATTTAACTGGCTTCTCCCCTGTGTGGATCATCTTATGAGAAATAAGAATATATTTTTGAGCAAAGGTCTTTCCACATTCCATGCATTTAAATGGTTTCTCTCCTGAGTGGACCTTTTTGTGCTTTTTAAGATTACTGTTCTGAGCAAAGGTCTTTCCACACTCCAGGCATTTAAATGGTTTCTCTCCTGAGTGGGTCATTTTGTGCTTTTTAAGATTACTGTTGTGAGCAAAGGTCTTTCCACACTCCGTGCATTTAAATGGTTTCTCTCCTGTGTGGACCCTTTTATGGATAGTAAGTCCACTGCCATCAGTAAACGTCATTCCACACTCCATGCATTTATATGGTTTCTTCTTTGTGTGGATCCTTTTATGGATAGTAAGTTGAATGCTTGTTGTAAAATATTTTCCACATTCCAAACATTTATAAGGCTTCTCTTTTGTGTCAATCGCTTTTTGAGATATAAGAAAGTTATTCCCAAGAGGAAGAATGAATGTCCCATTGTAATTTTGTCTGTTGTGTCTTCTTATAGCATCTTCTCTTTTGTTTTGGGTTAAATAGTGTTCATTTACTTGTACTTCCGCTTTGATTAGCTTCATACTTTTTCCAGTATATTTTTTCCTTATTTTCCCTTCTTGGGCAAGAAAGTCTTGCATCGGAGCATCACTGGAAGATGAGCTTTCCTGATTCCAATTCTTTGACTGGTTTCTCTCGTGGCTTTCAAATTCCATTCGAATTCCAAACTTCTCCGTTCCATCTTTAGCATTGATCACTTGGAACAGTTCACAGGAATCTTGATTTTCCTGCCCATTATTACCTTCAAAGCAAAAGGGAAATGAAAATGATAACAAGGTTAGAGAAAAAGATTAAAGTGTAAAAAGTCAAGTAAATTTCCTTCTGAATTTCTCAGAAATTCCATTAGGTTGTATGTTTTTGCATGCCTACAGTGGTGTGATACAGACATCATGATTTCTATATTCATGAGTCACGAAAGCTTTGAAAGTATCTAGAAAACATCTCGTACTTTACAATTATCTATATATATGCAAATCTCACTCAGAGTCAGTTTCGAGTTAAGGAATAATCAAGGGAAACATCCAAGGAGGAATTAGGAGAAACCTTAAGATTTATTGGGGTGGGTTAAATTCAGCAGAGACCTGTGAGAAATGAAACAATTTTGAAATAAGCTCCTTCTTCACTAGTGTACTTTGGAGTAGCTGCTCTATGGCGTCTGTCTGGCAGGCAGGACCCCTACTCGGCCTCTTCCTCAATCGCAGTAATGCGTATGGAGATAAATCTCTTGCTTGAAGCCTCCCATTGCCCTGTAAATGCTCTTCACGCTGAGACTGGAAAGGTTGGGAGGCTTCAAGAATGCTATTTCGTTGCCCCAAAGTCCCATCAGCTTTCAAGGGCTCTTTGGCTGGATCTGGTACATGTCTTGGTTCGCAGAGAACTGAGGCCTAAAGTACTTTAGTGCGAGATCACATGAGAACAAGTAGTGCAAGATCTCAGGCGACTACTTTCACATGATCTCACACCACAGTACTTTAGGCCTGGGTTTTTTTAAGAGCTAAGGATTGCACGAGATCCAGGGCAAAAGTATTTTAAAATGATGAGGGGTTTTTCCCTCTTTGAAAAGCTTTTTGCCCTTGGTCTTGTGCAGGCCTTGATTAGCGGAGAACAGAAGCCTAAAGCACTGTAGTTCAAGATCACATGAGATCAATAGTGCTAGATTTCCCACTACTGACCTCCCCTGTCTCTCACTACTTTGGGCCTCTTTTTTCTGCAAATGCACCAAAGTAGGCAAAGGAACCAATGGTTGGTGAATTCATTGCAAGGTACTCTATTTTTCGGACTATAAGATGCACTGGACCATAAGATGCACCTAGGTTTAGAGCACTGGTTACCAAACTGGGCAGTACCGTCACCTGGGTGGTGGTGAGATGCCTTAGGGGGGTGCTAAGAGGCAAGGGGGCTGGCAGGGGGATGCTAAGAGGCGGCAGGGGGCACTGGAGGTGGGCCCCTCGCAGGGCGCAATTCAGGAGTGGGATTCTACCGGTTCATTACCATTCCGGGTAGTTTGGAGAACCAGTAAAAAGGCCGCTGGCTGGCCCTACTCCTCTCCACCTGTTCCTCCGTTCCTTGCCCAGTCAGTCCTCATTGCGCATGCGTGACATCGCATGCATACGCAACAATCGCTGACAGCCACAATGGTGCGTTGAAAAAGTGGAGCAAGCAAAGCCAGAGGTCGGTAATTTTCACTACAAAAAGCATCCAGACCCCATGTTTTTTTCGGTGCAGCTGGAGTCCAGCTGTACCGAAAAAAACATGTAGCGGCTGTAGGTTTTTTGCAGCGAAAATTACCAACCTCCGGCTTTGCTCTATTTCTCCAACACGCCACCGCTGCCGCATTCTAGGCACTGGCCATGCAGGTTCACCCCATTGACTGCTGCACCACTCCACTATCATGTGCTTGGGCAAGTCCCTCCGGCACCTAGAATGTGGCCACAGCAGTGCATTGGAGAAGCAGAGCAAAGCCGGAGGTCAGTAATTTTCGCTGCAAAAAACTTCCAACCACCACATGTTTTTTTGGGTGCGGCTATAGTCCAGCCTCACCTAAAAAAAACATGCAATGGCTGAAGGCATTCCTGACAAGGGCGACTTGGGCTGGCGGGGAACCCAGCGAGAACAATGGCTCAGCCCTGGCTTGCCTTCCCTGGCAGCCAGCCGCTGGAGGAAGATAAAGTCACAGCCGTGGGACGATGAAAGAGGCAGTCGTGGGGGAGGAAACAGGGAGATTAAGGGCCAGGGCCTCTGGAAGAGGAAATGAGGTGATGCAGGATTAGCCCAGGCCTTTGACAGATTAGGCCATGCCTGCCTGGGCAGAAAATAGGTAGTTAGGTTAACGAAGGAACAGAGAGAGAGGGAAAGAGAGAGAAGGAATGAGAAAGAGAGAGAAAGAGAGGGAAAGAGAGAAGGGGGGAAAGAGAGAAGAAATAAAGTAAAGAAAGAAAAAGGGTGAGAAAAAGGAAGAGAAAGGAAGAAACGGAATAGACACAGAAAGAAGGGGGATGAAAGAAAGGGACAGAGAAAAAGATTGAGAGAGAGGGAAAAAGAGAGGGAGAAAGCGAGAGGGAAAGTGAGAGAGAGAGAAAGAAAGAAACAAGTGAAAAAAAGAAAGGGAGAGAGGAGAAAGGGAGATATCTAGTCCAACCACCTGCTCCCGAAGGGTTACTGTGTGTGTGTGTGTGTGTTTGTGTGTATATGGCTGTCAAAACTCCAAAAACAGGTCAAGTAGCTCTGGGGAGGTCAGTGATAAATTAGAACACTTGCTAAGCAACTGGCCGTTAAGCGAGGACCACTTGTATTTGGTTTGCCAATCACATGGCCACCTGACCATGCCCACCCAGTCACATGACCACCAAGCCATGCCCACAAATTAGGCCACGCCCAGAGAACCAGTTGTTAAGAAATTTGAATTTCACCTACCCAAGCTTGGGTTGGGGGCACCGAGGATGAGTTTTTAGCACCAAGGGGGCGGTGGACTGAAAAAGTTTGGGGACCACTGGTTTAGAGAAAGAAAACAAGGAAAAAATTAATTTGTGCCTCAGGGAAGGCACAAACGAAACCCGCAGAGGTTACCGGAGACCAAAACGGGGCCCATTTTTGGCCTGCAGAGTGCTTCTGGATGCAAGGGGGAGCAAAAACGGGACATAGGAAGGGTTTGGGAAGCCAAAAAAGGCCCGTATTTTCTCAATAAGATGCACAGGCATTTCCACCCACTTTTGTTTTGTGTGTGCATGTGTGCGTGTGTGTGTGTGTGTGTGTGTGGAGGGGTGCATCTTATAGTCTGAAAAATATGGTAAGCCTCAGCAAGGTGGGGTGGGGAATAGGTAATGTTGAAGGGCCTCTGCTGTCATTTGTAAGTGTGAATGACGGCCGTGGTGCTGCAACACTCATAATTACGGGACTGGGTCTCAAGAACTTGGGGAAGGGCAGGTCGTAACTTGGAAGGGTCGCTAAGAGAACTCGGGGATTACCTGTACCCTAGGATGCTCTGAGTCACACTGCATGAGGCCTTTGTTCTTGAATTGGATTGGGAGAGTGTTCTTCCATGGGCCGAGTGTCAAAGTTCTGTTCTCACACAATTTGGGGAGGTTTCAGAGGACAAATGACAACACTCCTCTTACACAACCACCAGAGGACACATACAAGCACACCTCTCTCTTTTCAGCCCCCACAGATAAGTTCAAATAGAAATGGAAAACAACAGATAAGAAATGGTACAGAAAAAATCTAAGCAAAGAGACCCTGATTCTTTCTTTCCTTGGAGCATGAGAAGGCCAGATCCTTTCCTTCTCCCCCCCACTGTGGGGAGGGGGCTGAAAGGGAGGAAGCCCATCCTGTGTTTTCCTGCAGACCCTCTGAAAATCCCTGAAGGATCTGCTTTATATTCTAATTTTCTTCCCCGTTTCTGATCAGTGGCTTTTTAATAAAAAACTAACTATAATCTCTCTTCTTGATTGGGGACTAGAAAACTCTTACCCAGAGAGACCACGTTCCTATGGTTTTCAAGCATGACTTCCGAATGCAGCGCTTTCTGGTCAGGATCCAGCTGAGACCATTCCTCCTCAGAGAAATACACAGCCACCTCCTCGAAGGACACAAGACCCTCCTGGACATGGAAAAAACGAACAGGACAGGAGGATTCACAAGATCTGTTCATCTTCATCATTCATTTAAACAAGAGGATAGAAGGGGAACTCATCAAATTTGCCGACAAGACCAAATTGACAGGAATACCAACACTCCAGAAGATAAACTTGAGATACAGAAGGATCAACAGATTGGGCCCCATTTAACAAAACGAAATCAACAGTGAGAAATGTAAGGTTCTACATTTAGGAAAAAAAACCCAAATGCACTGGCATAGAATAGGTGATACCTGGCTCAACAGTAGTAAGTGCAACAGGGATCTTGGAGTTCTAGTGGACAACAACTTAGAGTCAGCCCATTGCTACAGTCCCCCCACCCCACCCACCCCAAAAAACCAACAGAATCATAGGCTACATTAAGAAGGATAGAATCAAGATGACATGAAGTGTTAGTGCCACTTTGTAATGCCTTAGTAAGGCCACACTCAGAACACTGCATTCAGTTTTGTTTGTCAGATACTAAAAAAGATCTTGAGACTCTAGAAAGAGGGCAGAGAAGAGCAACAAAAATTATTAGTGGACTGGAGGCTAAAAGATATAAAGAACGGTGGCTAGAATTGGGGATGTCCAGTTCCAAGAAGGACTAGGGGAGACATGATTGCAGCGTTCCAAGAAGCAATAGATGGAAACTATTCAAGGAGAGAACCAACCTACAAGTAAAGATAAATTTCCTGACATTGGGAACAATTAATCCGTGGAATGACTTCCCTCCAGGAATTGTGGGTGCTCCAACACTGGAGCTGTTTATGAAGAAACTGGACAGCCATTTATGGGAAATGTTATAGAGCTTCCTGTCTGAGAAGGGGGTTGGACTAGAAGACCTCCAAGATCCCTAATATTATTCTGTTACATTGTTCCCAAATTCTCAAAGCAGAGATATGCACTAAGTTAAATGGTTGGGGGGTCACACAAGTTATAATTTTAGGTGAGCAAATGGGCAAATCTGAAAATTGCTTTCACTGAAGAAATATTTCAGGAAAATTTTATCTAGTTCATTCATTCTGCAAAACCATCAATGCCTTTCAGTAAATTAGTCCCACTTCTGGATCAACTGATCTATCGCTCTGTCTGTCATTGATTGATCTAGAAGTCTGAGCCATTGACCGAAAGGAAGACAAGAAAGAGGAGAAAATTCAGTGGGAAAGTCATTTCTCAGCCTTTGCACAGCAGGAATGTTTGATCTCCTAATCGAGGAGCAAATCAGAGAATTCGAAATTATTTTATATCCCTAAGTACCAAATTACATGCTCAACACGGCCACTCCCTTTGGAATTTAATAATCTGCTTTATTTTTTAATACAATTTGCTTATTTTTCAACTTCAGGTTATAAATAAGGCTTTTTAAAAATTGTAATGTGGCAATGTGTTCATTTTTTATTAGCCTTGCACAATTCCGAGTCAAAGAATTTCCCCCCAAAAAGGGTCTCTAGCAGTTCCTGCCACTGTGATACATTTATTCCTATTTCTGGAAGGACTTTTAAAAAATTGCTTCCAGCAATTTTGAAGTTGGAGGAGAACCTAGCAGAACAAGACAACCAGAGGAAGCTATGCTGGCCAACAGTAACTTGAACCTGCTATTCTGCTCTCCATGTTGTGGAAGAACCCAAATATAATCCAGGCCAAACAAGGGGGAAACAGAAGAACAGAGCACTCTGCACACCCACTTCACTTCCTGAAGGAAGAATACAAATCTAGTATCTTTTCTCTTTCTTACTTGATTTGGAGGTTCAACCGCTGTTTGATCTCCACCATAAAAACCAGAAAGCTTCATTCTTTGTTTCTCTGTAAGGAATAAATCATTTCAAAATGCATAATTAACAAAAGAGGAGGAGGTATTCTAAAGGAGAGAAGAGAGAGCGAAGGGAAGACAGATGGGGAATCAGAGGATCTTCCATTACCTCCTGAGGGGTCCTGACTTGGATCTTCCCAAGGGATCCTCCTGAAAAATAGCTCCCGAGGGGGATTTGATGGGTTCTTCTTTCCCCCAGGATCTCTGATCTCCACAGTGCAGCACTTCAAGTAGGAGGAAGGAAGGAAGAAGAATTAATGTATGTCACACAACATAAAGTGGATTCTTATATTCTGAACACAACCTGAAAGCCCTCAATACCCATCTGTGTGACTGAGTGAGAAAACAATGGAACAATGTCCTACCAGAATTGGAGAATTGCCACATATTATGAACATGGAAGAAGTTTGGGAAGGAGAGTGAAGCATTCAAGCACTCCCTCTATTTATTCCCTTCCGAACTCCCTAAAGTCTCCCACCTGCCGCTGGAGCTGCTCCTTCTGCTCCTCCGCCTGGCTCAGGAGGAAGCCTTCCGCCAGGGCCACCGCCTGGGAACTGGTCTCTGCTCCACACTCCCGCACCCAGCCCTCCATCTCTGGGGGAAGAAGGAACAGGAGATGCTCCAGAACCACCAGGTCCAGCATCTGGGCTTTGCTGTGCTTTCCTGGGCTCAGCCATCGTCTGCACAAGCCATGGAGCCGGCTGCAAAGTCCTCGGGGACCCTCAGCCTCCCAGCATCGGATGGAAGTCCAGGGCTGAACTTCTGAAGGGAGGAGGGTTCCCTCCTGCAGGACCTTCTGCTCAGTTCTGGTCCAGCTCTCCCCACAGCTCACAGGCTGAAGAGCCGCAGGGCCTTTTCCGCTCCCCTCCTTGGCCAGAAGAGGGGGTGTCTCCATCCT